TCCAAAGTTCGATCCTCCGTGATGACAAATTTTTGCAATTTATTGGCGCCTCCAAATTGCCGCAAAACACGACAATGACATCTATTCTCGACGATGGCGCCATTTGGGGCGCCAAACTATATTGCAAAAATTAGTCATCACCGGGGATCGAACTCTGGACCATTTCTTCACCACTGTTTTGACATTCCTGGAGGCGTTCAGGAAAAATGGATCATGGTTCTGTGTTCCTCGCATGAGCCCCTACAACATGCAGAAACCATTTCGAAAAAGCGCTCCATGTCCTGAAAGACCTCCCTTGTAGACAGTAGCCAAACTATCAAAACCCAATAAGGAATAAAAGAAAAATAGTTGAATGAACATACTCCAGGAGAAATACAAATTCTATTAGAAAGCATAGCATCATGAATAAACTCTGTAACACATATCAAACTCAATGAGGACAATATTTAGACTCTGGCAATTCATACAGTTGTGGTATATAAAGATAAGCCTACAGACCATAAATTGCCTGGTGGATAACATGAGCGAGCTCAAGATATACTCAGGGGACTCATCTGCCCTAAAATCCTTTGCGTTATGAAATGCTCCCACTTCCATCCAAAATCACCTTCAATTATTCTTAGTGGCGCTATCACCACCACTTTGGTTTCGTCTAGTAGCAGTAAGCACAAGAACTCTTCACCTAAGTGCCTGCCTCTCTAGGACCCCTTAACCACATGAGTTACATTGTGAAGACCCGCAAATTATCACATGGGCTATGTGTTATTCGAATGCCACTACGATAGTCGGATGCGTGGCGCACACCATAACGGGATTTATCGACATATGAAGCCTTATATGGCTATGGCTTCATCTTAAACTTTTCTCACCTCTCTTGAGTCCCTCCGTCTAATTGCGAACGGATTGTGCTGCGATCTTTTTCCATCCAGCGGCCATTACTGTAGTCATAAGCGGTATACACGAAAGTGGCATACGTTGACGGTTGTTCGACCTTCACTGCGGTGTACGTCTGATTCCTGCAATTATTTTAATCATAAGTCGAACAATATGAACCAGATATATAATCAATAAGAATTATTCTCTATATCTCTTGTATGTCTGTCTGTCTACTTGTAACCCTAGGCTCGCACGTTACGTAGACCCAAGAAAAGTGTTAGGGCATGGTCAGCAGCGATTGGAGGAATTGTCCGTAGGGCGTGACACGCGGGTGGTAAAAGTGGACCGGTAATGGCGAGCCCGACGGCCTGAACCTGCATTTTCCCTAATAATAAGGGACAATGGTCAATAAATAAATAATGATATGATAATAATAAACAATAATAATAAAATAATGATGATAATATGGTAATAATTGAATACTAGTAAAAAAAATTATGTGGCTGTTCCAATATGCAGCTACTGTGTGCACGGATGCCGTTATTTTGATTCTTGAATACACCCATTAGCCTTTCACATGCCTCACATATCACCTGTTCGAGGTACGAGCTTTAATTCGGATCATGCAAAAAAGATAAAAAAAAACTCACCGGTATGGGCGAAATTTCTACGTCACAGCAGAGCTTGGCATTACTGCCCGCAGGACATCCGATTGGCGACTGATTGGGGAGAAACGTACGGTAGCACGAGGTGAGCTGAACAGTCACAATGAGATGAGGTGAAGGGAAGGGGAAGAGAGGCACTAATTGACTTACAAAATCACGATTCGAGTCTTCTGGGCATTGTGTGTACTGATGGGATTCAGCAGTACAGCTATCAGAAGCAGCGTTGCACTCACAGATGCAATCAGCTCTCACTTCTGGTATGGCGAACTGGTACCGCTGAGTCACCTGAAATGCTCATAAATTGTCAAAAGTAGGCCTTCAATGATTTGTTTCGGCTGAAGGAAACTTACGCGATGGTGTATGTCAAGTCGACGAGTCGGAACAGTGTGAAGCCAGGAGGACGGGCGTTGTGACTTCGACTGAAAGAGGTGGTCACGTATGATTGGAAGCAACAGCGACGCCTTCCTCAAGTCGGAAACACACGGTCGTGTGTAGACCCAAGTAGAACTGCATTTGCATTCCGCTCCTTGTGACTGCCTCATTTGCACCTGCAAATACTGAAGGAGTAATTTTTAAAACAAAAATACTAGATATCTTCTTTTTAATAAACTAGAACAGCGTCGGGTGCAGACCATACACCACAAGTTACGACTGCCTCCACAAAATGTAAATGTTTTCTGCCAATGAGATGATTAGCCTGTTGCAGTTGTATTCTATTAGTTGTCTCTGATTACAACTATCATTTACTGAAAATCATTTATCACCATACTAATTACTACTAACCAATACTTTACTTGGAGGTTCGTCGTCACTTGTGCTTGTATGGTGCCGTACTCGACCTCTGCTCGTGTTTTTGATTGGAGGGTAACCTATACATACAGGAACGCTTCATAGGCTGAGACCCTGTTATTGTGTTCCTATAAAGGACCTTCTACTACTTAAATTAAACCTAAAAATTGGATTGGCTCCCTCTTATGATGTTACAAAAAGCTTTCAAAGCAATAGGACTTGCTGATGCTTTTCTTTCTCTCTATTTTCTCTCCTTTCAAAATTCATTTTTGTCATTCAAATTTTATTTTCTGTATAAAATTCAAAATGAGCACAGCCCATTGAAAATCGGATCTTGAATCGCGAAGCTTTCGAAAGACGCCAAAAATCGAGAAACCATAAAACTTTCACAGTAGCGGTTGCTGTGATTCATTGGCCTCGATTTTCGTCGAATCCGATCTGTCATCACCACCTCTGAGCTTCATAAAATTAACCGCACTTGTGTCAATGCGTGGTCCTTTCGTAACCGGTCCAACGAAACCCATAAAGGCCGCGTTACTCACTCCTCGGAGATATACCCATAAAATCCTCGTCAAGTGTTGACAATTCCCTATGAAATGTGAGCAAAAAAGGGTGAAGCATAAGGTGCAAAACGTTCACTGTTCAAGAATCGTTCGTAGGATACGCCTTGCGTTCGCCCTCTACTCAGAATCGCACAAGCATCTGAACGCGATCTGGCTTGTGAGCTGTCGATGGACATATCAGTTTTTCATCCTACCAGATGAGCCTCTTACCAATCAGCCAACTCCGGAAGCCGACTTCAAAAAAAAACACAAAAGCAAAACCTAACTATTCAACCGGAGGTTTGACCCGCACCTGAGCGCGGGCAGTGGTACCAGTTCCCACCAGAACTCTTCCACCTCTCAAGAAGGATAAGTGAATATCAAGCAACCCCCTCATCCGCTTTTTCATTCAGGAACCAGATAGATCTTTGCTTATACGGAGTACCAACTTTTGATGTCTATTGATAAATGCTGAATTTGAACAGTTCTATGAATTCTATGGATGCTCAATTTTTGAACAGTTCTAAGGAGCAGTAGTAACGACAAGGCGAAACCTTATTGTTAGGGGTGCTAACTTGGTAGAGGGGGATCAGCGGCGCGACGCTCTACGTGTCTGCAACTCTGAGGCTTATTGTTAGTCACAGGTACCTTCCTATTTTGTCGCAAGGTAACAGTTTGGAATACGGTAGCACCGAGGACTTAAGCCTTGCAGAGAAAGCCGGACAAAGTGCCGCGCCGTCCGCGGCGTCCCCACCCCTAACCAAATTAGTACCACCTTAGGTTCCTCACCAGCTGAGTACACTTTGGAATCAACTTCTACATTTCCTATAAGAAAATCCTCCAAAGGCATCCATATTAACATCAAAATTAGTTCGAAACATTCCTTTTGCTAGTGGATGAACTTCACGGGACTATCTGGAGCTGCTCACGAATTTCCCCGTCTGCGAAGACTTAATGAACTTTGATCTTGAAAGGAGGCTATAGTTGCCTATCAAACTTCTACCATGAGCTCGCCTGAAGCAGCAGAAACTAAATTATTGTTTTCCGTTTTAAGCATTTTCTTAGGTTTGCATGTCTGTAACCAATTTCGTTTCATTTTCTTTGCTCAAAAGTAGAGCTCATGAACCCACAGAAAGCGTGATATGTTAAGATTGAGCTCTGGTACAGGTTTTTCTACTCTTTGTTGTCCATCTTAACGATGCTTTGCTACAGAAGGCTAGAAACTTCCTTTCCCATGGCTTCGGCAGTGACATTTAAAGTGGTGAAAAATTTGATCATAAATAAAATAAAATAACAGCAATACAAAAGAAGAATGTGAAGTGAAGAGAAAGCCACCAACTTGTTGATGCTTGGGCGATCACGATGGGAGTTTTCGAGCAATGCGGCGGTTGAATTGGAAATAAGTTGCGAAAAATGTCCTCCGTCGGTCGTTGCGGTGTTGAATTTCTGACCCAATGCAGTAAAACCAGAAATAGAAGGAGCCGCCGATGCCGCATCCTGAAATTCGTAAGTCATCGTCGGCAGTCATAGCGGATGATTCATGATCAAGCCAAATTCAGATTCGCACGTTTAGAAAAGGAAGAAAAAGGAAGAGGATTAGAAGATTTCAAAGGGAATTCGTGGTGATCAATCGCTATGTAACCATCACGGGTAAGGAAAAATATTTGCGAAAAAAGCTCAGGAGAATCGAAAAGGTGTAAATGAAGCGCGACGCTCACAAAACCAAGGAAATCTGATCCGATTGATTAGTCAGTGGACAGTGACCGGTCTTCTTTTGTTCGCGGTCACCGAAATCGAGTACTTAACTCGGTAATGGAACGCCTTAGCGGTTGGGTAACCGTGTGGACTCCTTGAATTCCTCCTTGTCCGGAAAACGCCACGATTTACGGATGCGATGATGTGTTTGTCAATGGATGCGTAATGATTTCGCAATTTCCTTCTGTACGAAGAACCGGATTCACTTACGAAAATGATGAATGAAACATGGAAAAAGTTGGTAGAAACTCGACATGAAGTGCTTGTTTGATAAGTGGTAACGATTTCAGATTTCCTACGTTTCTTTTGAGATGAGCAATGTTTACGACTTTGTCATCGTATGGCAGCAGCCAAATACGGCCATCTGAAGCCTATAGCTTTTGGAGAAAAACTGATGGAATCTGGGCTTGGCATCACAGCTTCATACACTAGGATAAACTTCAGGTCTCCTAACACTCCTAAGGCCAACCGGGGCAGATGCTAAGCTCATCGGAAAGATTTTCAAGTGAATTCCTAACTCTTCAGGCCAAAAGGTAAAGCTGCCAGGCGGGAATTGTTAAATACCAAGCCTAGGTACGGTAGCGCAAAACGACAGACGCAATAGCTACAGAACGAAGGCCAAGCTGAATGAACAGGAAGTGCCCGGTGAAGGTATCGCTTCCCTCGATCAGATAAACGCAGTCAACCTGGGTCAGTAGACGCGTGCGCTGACCGTGGATGCGATGGTATCTCTACCTCAATCAGCTGATATGACAAATTGCGGTAACAGAGCATGCATATTGCCTCTGTACCACCCTAATCTACGTTCACCAAAGATCCTACAGATGAGGTACGGTAACACAAGTGGTTGGTTTGAACCAGGGCCTTTTGACACGATGACACCCGCTCAGTCCTTTGAATCGGCCTGGTAGGAGTTTACGCTTCAACATCACGTCTTCTCTACGCTTCCATTTGAGCACTCCATGGTATGTTTGAGGCGTAGGCCGGACCAAAACTTTGTAGTTCTTCACAGAAACATGGAAGCATTGGTTTAAAAGCCTGCTCACTTTCACAATGTAGGCGTGCTAAGGCTAAGAGAGATTGAGCGAGGAGAGGAGAGTACAAGGCGACAGCGCACAAAAGATGAGAGGGCACTAGACAATAGCCTGCTACTCCATGGGTAAGCTGAGCTGTTGAAGCGTCCTTTGCAAAGCCTCTGCCTCATGTTCCATTAGGCTATTGTCCTTGGCAACGAGGAGTGCGACATCTGTGAAGGCCATCCAGTGATCTATCCTATAGAGCTAATCGAGTGAATCTTACTCCCAACTTCCTACCTGGACTGTGCCTTTAAGGCCGTATCCGCTCGATGGCTCGATGACCAATAGATGATCGGGATCTTTACCATATGAGTTAGGTGATAAAGGGTAATAAGCAGAATAAGATGAATTAAGAGTCTTCAAGAAACAGTCATTTTTTAGGCTGATTAAAACGAGCGCATCATAAAGTATTCCTATAAGCCAAATCTCCAGCTTTCTGGGCCTCAGATAAAGCTTTCGTGATTAGAATTGTCAACTGTCCAAGCATAGGTACGGTAGAACAGAAAAGACTAATGAAATGGCTTCAGAACACGACGATGAGCCTGGCAGAATGAAGCGAATGGTGAACCAAAAAGGATTCTCTGAATGGGCAAAAACGTAGACCCCATAATCACCTGCGCAGTCACAGTGCTGAAAGTTTTTCACCGATTTTTTCATAATTTTAATCAATGTGGTGGCTTCATCAGGAACTAGTTCGTTAGTTTACTGCTTTACCATGAGCCGTCGTCGTTCGTGCGTTCGTCGGGGAAAATTAGCTCTCGCGGGGCGGCCGCGCCTAGGCAATTGTTTTCGAATTCACGCTGGCGCTGACAGCCTATCACACCTATCAAGGTGATTGTGAAACTAAGGTCGAAATAACAGCACGCAAAACTGTGGCGGTCATTTTCAAGGTGAACTGACAGTGTTCAGTGATAGCGGCAAGACGACGCCCAACTCCATTTGAAATCAGCCAAACAATGAGGAATGAGGAGGGAAGTGCCCCCCAAACACGACGATGATGATGGCAGGGTGGAGGCGACAGCGGGTGGGTGATTCGGATTAGTGATATGATGACGGATGGCGTTGGAAGGCGGGTGTCACATTGCGTAGAGCGCCGGACGACACAACTCCCTCCACACTACGGTAGATATGATAGATGGGCGGGGCCATCATCGGCGAACGACCATGGCGCGGCACGAACACGATGCACCGCGGTGAGAGACAATATCGTTTATCAGTGCAATTGCAGACGAAGACGACGACGACGAAGAGTTTCGAAATGAGGTGGAGGAGGTGCTTACGCAGGTGATCTTCAGTGCCAGGCAGCGCCAACGGCGGCCCACCTATCCACCCCACATTCCTTTTGGGGGTACAGTGCATGAGAGCGCTGTTTCAGTCGGG